CTAGCTTTTTTTATGCCTAGACAGTTGAGGTGACATCCTAATTATATATTCCATAAAGGTTAGGATAAATCTCAGCTGTGAACCCATCTGGTCCTCCTGCCCTTTTCAATGGTAGATCTCGAATCACCTTTGCAGTCTCATCTACAGTTGTTGGTCTATTCAAGTTTTCCACTTCTGAGATAGGCTTGAGTAATTTATATTTTGCTAAAAATCATTTCCCCTTTAGGAAATAATTTGCATGTAATATTTTTTTAATCCTTCCTGCATCTATGATTGTTCAGTTTAACTTTCTCTTTTATCTATAATCAGATTTCTAGGTGTTGATCCCTTTTATTTTACATTATTTTCAAAGAACTGCCCCCCAAATTTCCTCTTTCTTTCCCATATTTATATTTCTGTCTTCTATTTTGTTGATATAAACTTTTATGTTTATTAATTCCACCTACTTTTTTTCTGATTTATTTTAATGTTGCCTTAGTTTCTTATGATAAGTATCATTTCTATATTTTTATTCTTTATTCCTTAGTAGTAAAAGCATTTAAGGTTACACTTTTTCCAAAGAGTAGAATTTTCTCTGAGTCCCGTAGGTTTTGATGAGAAGTCTTTTTCTGGTTGTTTGAAATGTCTTTTTTCTCTTTAATACAAAGACTATCCACGAATTTTGTTTTTAAACTTCACAGTAAATAAGGGGGGGGCGTGGGGGAGGGAAGATGACACCAGGGGAGCAAGGCGGGGAGGGGCCAATTTTGACCAAAAGGATCTGGAAACGCTCTTTAGAGGAAGTGGCCCTTTACAGAGAAAATAATATTTTCCACTGCTTCTGTTGTTAAATTTAAATTAATTAAAATACAATAAAACTAGAAATTTAGTTTCCCAGTTGCACTAACCACATGTTAAATGCTCAGTAGCCACCTGTGGTGGCTCCTGTATTGGACGACGTGGCTTGAATACAGCGTGTGACACATCGTAGATGCTCCGTGGTGCAGGGGACCAGTCACATGTCCGCAGAGGGTTAAAGGCAGCTACCGGGAGGCAGAGAATGGCTCCGTGCAAGAACAGCTTCAGTCTCTTAGTTGGGCTGAACTAGGGCTTTCGTGGAGAGGGCTGTGGGGTGGGCCTCAGGAGTCCAGCTGGGCTAGGGGGCCAGAGCCTGAGGCTGTGCCTCCCTCCCCGGAAGGCCCAGAGGAGGAGGTGCTGGGGCTGGACTTGGCAGAGCAGCCATGGGTGAAAGGGCAGCCCCAGACCCTCTGTTTCTTCCTGGGCCTTTGATCTCTGGTGGGGCCTCCTTCTGCCCGTCTCCAGGGCCCCCATTCAGGTCCCCTCGACCTCCCCTCCCCTCATCTCCCCAGAGTTTGAAAGGCCCCGGACACACCGAGGTCAGCGGAGTGCGAATCCCTTTCACTAGCTCAGAAAGCCGCCAATGCAGCAGCAGCTTGGGCTCCGGGACCAGGAGCTTCTTGTTAGGCGGTGGAGGGTGCGTGGCAGGTGGCACTTCCCGCCTTCCGGGCCCTGGCTGCCCTCTACCTGACGAGGCACAGGAAGGGCGGCCAAAACCCAGAGTGGCCTGTTCTTTACAAGCGATGCCAAGCCCTGTAGACCCTCATGAGGAGGTTTGGGGGCATTTAGCAGGGGCTCCTGTCATGACCGTTCATCCCTCTTTATGGGGGTGTCTGTCTTCTCAGGTCTTTTGTTTGGGGGTGTACCTCATCCAGTGTTATCTGCCTCTGTTTATGTCTTGTGTATTGAG